TTAGTAAGTGTCTGTTAAACTAATATAATTAATTAATTCTTGGAATTGATGCCTTCTTTGTTTTAAAATTTTATTACAGATTGTTAAACCAACGTATTACGCACAATGTGAAAGGAGTTATTACAATAGATTAAAGCTTCAAATAATTCTGATATTTTCATTGCCCATGCCTTAGCTTGGGCTGCTTGTAACAAAGTCCCGTAAATTGGGTGGCTTCTAAGCAGCAGGCATTTCTTAGAGTTCTGCAGGTTGCCAGTTTGAGATCAGGGTGCTAGCACGGTTGGGTTCTGGTGCAGACCCTCTTCTGGGTTGCAGATGGCTACTGTCTTGTTGTGTCCTCACATGGCAGAAATAGGACAAGCTAGCTTTCTGGAGTCCCTTTTATAAGGTCACTAATCCCTTCATGGGGGCTCCACCCTCATGACCTAATTACCTCCCAGAAGCCGCATTTTCTATAACACTGGGGGTTAGGATTTCAACCTATGAGTATTTTGAGGGGGACTGGTAGGGGGACACAAACATTGAGCTCCATTGCTGCTCACAACTTTGTTTCTTCTTCCAACCATATAATCACAGCTAAAAGGGCCAATGTTTTCTAAACTGGAAAAAAAAAAAAAACAAAAACAGAACAGATACAGTTTTGTTTGGTGTAACCAACAGGAAGAAGCCCTGGGAATTAATATTCAAAAAGAGAAGGGGGGCCGGGTGCAGTGGCTCACACCTGTAATCCCAGCACTTTGGGAGGCTGAGGCGGGTGGATCACCTGGGGTCAGGAGTTCAAGACCAGCCTGGCCAACATGGTGAAACCTCGTTTCTACTAAAAATACGAAAATTAGCCAGGCGTGGTGGCGCACGCCTGTCATCCCAGCTACTCGGGAGGCTGAGGCAGGAGAATGATTTCAACCCAAGAGGCAGAGGTTTCAATGAGCCAAGATTGTGCCACTGCACTCCAGCCTGGCTGACAGAGCGAGACTCAGTCTCAAAAGAAAAAAAAAAAAAAGAGACAAAGAGAAGGGGTAAGATCCTGGATGTTAGGTCCTGGTGTTCCATTTGTCACTAGGTTGCCATTTGAAGGGTCTATACTAACAGAAACAAAATCCAGTATGCAAGTGGCTTTTCTTTAAGGGTTTCAAAATATCAATGGGGAAAGGGAAAGCAAATTAGAGAAAAATGTCTGGGGAAACTAGAGACATTTGTAATATTGTCAGGTTTCAACCAATCGTTACCATTGTTACAGTTCAAGAGTTGCATGCATTGGTAATGCACTCTTGCACTGTGTATGTAAGAGCAAGGAAACAAGTACTGACAGATTCAAGAGCCTTTCACTTCTTTCAAGAAGTTCCTGGGCTGCCCCAAAACTCAGACTGTCCCAGTCCAGAGGAATTCAGTCCCAGGAGAAGTTCTTAAAGGATACTACAAAGTGAAGGACTCCTGGACTGATGTGCCCTAATGAAGCCTTTGTGTATCATAGGTGTATCAATCCCACAAGTCCCCTTCCTCTAATCGCAGCTTCTTCCTACCTTACTTTCCTTGCACTGGAGTGGCATGGTAAGGGATTGTCTGACAAGACCTGTGTTAGTCTGCAGTCTGGGTGAGTGAGAAAGAAACAGGATCAACAATGGCCATAGCTGGGTGTGGTGGCTCAGCCTGTAATCCCAGCCTGTAATCCTCGGCCTTTGGGAGGACGAGGTGGGCAGATTACCTGAGGTCAGGAGTTCAAGACCAGCCTGGCCAACGTGGTAAAACCCCATCTCTACTAAAAATATAAAAAATTTAGCCAGGCATGGTGGCGCGTGCCTGTAATCCCGGTTACTTGGGAGGCTGAGGCAGGATAATAGCTTGAACCCAGGAGGCGGAGGTTGCAGTAAGCCAAGATGGTGCCACTGCACTCGAGCCTGGGCAACAGAGTGAGACTCCATCTCAAAAAAAAAAAAAAAAAAAAAAGAGGAAGAAGAAGACAATGGCCACAATACCCCTGCATCCCTTCTCTCCCTTGAAATGTGGCCCAGTCCTTTCATGCCACCTCTAGTCCCCTAAAGCTTTTCCCAGTAAGACTCATCCACCACTCACTATTCTAAGACATTTCCTATTTCCTCCCCACACATCTGAACTGTTCTTTTGTTTTTGTTTTGTTTTGTTTTTGAAGCGGAGTCTTGCTCTGTGGCCAGGCTGGAGTGCAGTGGCCCAATCTCAGCTCACTGCAGTCTCTACCTACTGGGTTCCAGTGATTACCTTGCCTCAGCCTCCTGAGTAGCTGAGGCTACAGGCACGTGCCACTAGGTCCAGCTAATTTTTGTATTTTCAGTAGAGACAGGGTTCCACCACGTTGGCCAGGATGGTCTCGATCTCTTGACCTCTGATCTGCCCACCTCGGCCTCCCAAAGTGCTGGGATTACAGGTGTGAGCCACTGCTCTCTGCTTGAACTTGTTTACTCAGTATTCCATAATGTTTTCTTTATTTTTTATTTTATTTTATTTTTTGAGACGGAGTTTTGCTCTTGTTGCCCAAGCTGGAGTGTAATGGCGAGATCTCAGCTCTCACTGTAACCTCCACCTTCTGGGTTCAAGAGATTCTCCTTCTAAGCCTCCAAATAGGCACCCACCACCATGCCCGGCTAATTTTGTGTTTTTAGTAGAGATGAGGTTTCACCATGTTGGTCAGGCTGGTCTTGAACTCCTGACCTCAGGTGATCCACCCACCTCGGCTTCCCAAAGTGCTGGGATTACAGGTGTGAGCCACCGCACCCAGCCCTCATGATGTTTTTTACTAAGTCAATAAACTAAATCATAGGAAGTGATTGAACAAAAGTGGCGTAAAGCACTGCCTCCTCCAGAGCACTCAGTGGTCCCTGTTCCTAGCAGCTTCAAATGTAGCCAATTAAGATTGCAATGATGGACAACAGGCTTCTCTAGCTCTGATTATCCTGTCTATAGCTGACCTCATCTACCCCCTCTTGCTGACTCGCCACTGGAGGAATAACTGTACTACATGGTTGGACTGACCCATGAGTGACGGACCAAGGGCCAGGCTGACTGGCATCTTACCTGTTCTGCAGGAACTCAAAAGCCAACCTCTTACAAAAGTTGAGTAGAGTTGCTGGGTGGAGCATTCTGGATCTGTTTATCACCTCACTGCACAACTCCTGGACCTGAGATAAGTTCCATGACAATTGTGCTGTCATCAGAAGACTAATTTATCTCAGATGTGTCAGAAAAGGGGCTGCACAGGCAACCTAAAAGTTCATCCACTCTACAGCTGGAAACTTCACCTTATGTGAAGTGGGATTTTGTTGGAGTTTGTTTAGCTGTAAGGAAGACAGCTTGAATACACATTTCTCCAAAAAAGACATACAAGTGGTCAGCAAGCATGTAAAAGGATGCTCAACATCAGTGGTCCTCAGGGAAATGCAAATCAAAACCACAATGAGGCACCACTGCAAACCAACAGGACCTCTAAAATTGGGGGAAAAAAAGTGGGAAAAAAGTCCCAAGTCCCTCTGGGGAATTCCCACAGTGCCAGGCAAATTGAGATGATTGCTCACCCGAGGGCCACCGATAAAGCAAATGGACCGTGGAGAGCAGCTGTTTGTATTGATTCTTGTAACCAACAGGCCATGGCAGGCAGAAGTGATTACAATCTCTTCTGCCACAGGAAATAGATTTCTGTCTGTTCCCCTGGTGTCCTGGGGCTCAATACTGCCTTTACTCACCTTAGAAGAGTTACCAGAGTCCAGAAACAATTCATGACAATAAATCGTAATTCAGCTTTAAAAGCACCAGAAAACACATCCCACTGATGAAATTCTGTCTCACCCAAATATTAGCACCATGCTGGAAATTTACAGCAAAATTTATAGTATATTATACTGAAGACAAGCCAGGAAGAAAAAGAAAAAGAAAAAAATATAAAATATAAATAGAATTTCTGCCAACAAGCAGAGATTAAATAAATCATAAATTCCAACCTGAAATTAAAACTATGGATGAAAAGTGTTCATGGGTGATGAAGACTTTCAAGATTCTATGTGCTTCCCTGGCTAAAAAATGTCCTAGAATCGTAATCATAGCTCTCCGAAACGTCCATTTAATAAAATTTGTAGGCCGGGCGCGGTGGCTCAAGCCTGTAATCCCAGCACTTTGGGAGGCCGAGACGGGCGGATCACGAGGTCAGGAGATCGAGACCATCCTGGCTAACACGGTGAAACCCCGTCTCTACTAAAAAATACAAAAAACTAGCCGGGCGAGGTGGCGGGCAACTGTAGTCCCAGCTACTCGGGAGGCTGAGGCAGGAGAATGGCATAAACCCAGGAGGCGGAGCTTGCAGTGAGCTGAGATCCGGCCACTGCACTCCAGCCTGGGCCACAAAGCGAGACTCCGTCTCAAAAACAAAAAACAAAAAACAAAACCCATAAAATTTGTAAACTATACCCAACCTCAAATCCGATCAGAATAAGCAATATAATATTAAAGGATTGTCATTTTATCCATCAAAACTAAATTCCTGTATTCCACAGGGAAGATATAACATCCATTTATAATCAGCTACCAATGTTTTTGAAAATACATATTTTCTTTTACAGTGAGACACATTAATGTTTTGAGTTTGGAGAATCTCAGAAACAATGGCCATCTGAAAATAGGTCCAAGCCTAGGAGATACAGGGAGACCCCATCTCAACAAAAAATTAAATAGTTAGCCAGGCATGGTGGTGCATGCCTGTAGTCCCAGCTACTCAGGAGGCTGAGGTGGGGCCCAGGAGGTCAAGGCTGCAGTGACCTGTAATGGTGTCACTACACTTTAGCCTGGGTGACAGAGTGAGACCCAGCCACTCCCCACCCTCACTTCCCCCCAAAAAGAAAAAGAAAATTCCTTCTCAGGAATTTTATTCAGGCTCCTACATTCTATTCAAGAAACTGTAAAGGAAGTGAACAAATAGTAGTAGGAAAGTTTTATGCAAAAGAAATGACATCTCAATAGCAATACCCATGAGGTAGGCCTACCCTGACAGTTCCTTAGCTTCTGTGTAGCTCATCCAAGTGATGTCTTGCCATCAGCAGAACCAGACGGTTTTATAAAAATAAACTGATACGAAGACCTTTTCTCCAGGATTCATGCAAAGAAGATAATTACAATTTAAGATGAGCTGCCAAACTCTTCCTCTTCACATGATGAGCTTGTGGTTTCTTAGCTGTTGCACATAAAAGAGACATTTGACCAAAAATGACTCATTTTGTTATATAGCTTATAAATATTTTTAAAAAGGCAACCCCTTTTTTCTTCTTCCCTTACTATCTATCTTATCTATCTACCATCTTTCTATCTATCTATCTATCTATCTATCTATCTATCTATCTATCTATCTATCCTGACTTTCTATAAGAGAGAGAGAAAAAGATAAAGCGAGACACAGTTTTACAATTGGCAGGGGCCAAAGGCATTTCATGGCTTTGGAAGTCAAACACATGTTTGTTACTCAATTGATAAATTCCACATGACAATCATAGGATGAGTTGGTTGTTTTTTCCAAGGCGTCACTACATCATGCTTCTCTTGCTTAAAATTGCTCAGCGTCAGTGGTGTCCCATTCCTCAGCAATACACTTCTTTGTTATAAACTTAAAGTCAAATTCCATACTACTTCTATAATGAAACCTACAAGAATATCTTGGATTTCAGCGCATCGTGTTAAACTTCATTTGGAAAACGAAGGAGGCAGCTGCTGAGGAAAGCAGATCAAAAGAGGATGTGCTTCTATCATCTGCTACCACACCTGAGGCTGGTACGCCTGTCCCCAGGCCCAGGGCCCTCTTTCATTAAGCCAAAATAATAGGATTGTCTCTTTCCCTCTCACGTCTCTCTATCTAGGTTGTCTTTTAAGGACTTTCCCCCTTCAGATTTGTTCTTAGAGATCAGATAAAGCTTTTTTTTTTTTTTTCTTTCCGGGGGGGATGGAGTCTTTCTCTGTTGCCCAGGCTGGAGTGCTGTGGTGCAATCTTAGTTCATTGCAACCTCCGCCTCCCATGTTCAAGCAATTCTCATACCTCAGCCTCCCAAATAGCTGGGATTTCAGGGGTGCACCATCATGCCCAGATAATTTTTGTATTTTTAATAGAGACAGGGTTTCACCATGTTGGCCGGGCTGGTCTTGAACTCCTGACCTCAGGTGATCTGCCTGCTTTGGCCTCCCAAAGTGCTGGGATTACAGGCGTGAGGCACTGTGCCTGGCCAGATAAAGCTATTATCACCCGGATATAGTTTTATTTGATCCAGCTTCTCACAGCTTTGGAAACAGTACAGGATCCTGCTTTCCTTGAAGATAGATGGCTTTGAACCATCCATGTCCTAGGGCGGATATCAATCACACTACATAATTTTAGTAACTACAAATTTAAAAATAATTTAAGGTGCAAGAAGGCCTCCTGCCTTACTCTGGGCTTAACTGAATCAACTTTCCATTGTTTCAACTGTGAGAGAAAGAAGTTCCTCTCCTCTGGAAGGGAAAGTGTGGGAATACTTCCCGGGAGGTCCTGTCTGATGGGAGAGTGGGGAGAAGGAACCGAGCGTGCTCAGCTGAGTCCCTTTGCTGTATTCTGTTTCTCTGTCCTACTCTCCTCAAGAACCCCTCCTTCTACATCTCCATGAGAGACTACGCTTTTTTTTTTTTTTTTTTGAGACGGAGTCTTGCTGTGTCTCCCAGACTGGAGCGCAGTGGCGCGATCTCGGCTCACTGCAAACTCCACCTCCCGGGCTCACACCATTCTCCTGCTTCAGCCTCCCCAGTAGCTGGGACTACAGGTGCTCGCCACCACACCCGGCTAATTTTTTGTATTTTTAATAGAGAGGGGGTTTCACCGTGTTAGCCAGGATGGTCTCAATCTCCTGACCTCGTGATCCGCCCGCCTCGGCCTCCCAAAGTGCTGGGATTACAGGCGTGAGCCACCGTGCCCAGCCTGGGAATATGCTTTTTATATCAGGATCTGGCCCTATAGTGGAGAGACATAAAATTTGGTATGGGTAGGATCAATTTAGAGGGAAGTTATTAGGAACCCAATTTTATCTAATGTCTATGCTTTGTTCTCCAAAGCAGCCCTTTCAGTAATAGAACTGGGCTTTCTTTTTTCTCCAAGCTGTCTAATTCCTCTGTTCACTTCCGAAGTGGCTTTGAAATCAAAGGATTGATAGGAAATTATTACTTCTATAGAAACAAAGAATCCCCAAATCCTAGTGGCTAAAACAACAAAGATTTATTTCTCACTCCTGATACAAGTTCACTGGGGGTCCAATCATGTGCTTTGACTATGAGTTGCCACACATTGGGAGTTTAAATTTTTTTTTTTTTTTTGAGACAGATTCTCGCTCTGTTGCCCAGGCTGGAGTGCAGTGGCATGATCTTGGCTCACTGCAACCTATGCCTCCCAGGTTCAAGTGATTCTCCTGCCTCAGCCTCCTGAGTCACTGGGATTACATGTGGCCATCACCATGCCTGGCTAATTTTTGTAATTTTGTAGAGATGGAGTTTCACCATGTTGGCCAGGCTGGTCTTGAACTCCTGACCTCAGGTGATCCACCGGCCTCAGACTCCCAAAGTGTGGGATTACAGGTGCTCACCACTGTGCCTGGCCCTTTTTTTTTAAAGAGTTCTTAAAGACCAATTTCAAGTGTTAGCACCTCTGAGTAAGACTTTATTAGAAAATAGAAGTAGAAGCAATTTTCAGATTTGAATCCTGGGATGTAATTACAAGGACTGTGACAGAGTAGTGTTTTTAAACTTAACGCTTTCTATCGGGGAGCCACATTTATAATAAACAGCAAAAAGAATTATCATCGACAACTGAATAGGCCTTTTCACATCCCCCAGATTTGCTGAGAATTATTTTTGGGAATACTTAATTCAGAGCTTTTCTTTCAGGGTGTTGGCACTTTCCCTTTTTGGATATGAGTTATACAAGACTAACCTCTATTATTTCTGGATTACATGTCAGTGATGGAAAAATGAATTGAGTGCTTTGAGGGGGAAAGAAATCATTACCAGAAAAATGAATAGACCGATTGTACTGGATTACTAAAAGTCGGGGCTCTGGAAAGATCTTTGGTTTGATTTTCCGGGAAACGTATCTTCTTGGATACTCTTCAGAGTTGTGATAAATTCCTCCAGCAGCAGGTGGGAGGTAGGCCTGTTTATACCACACTTTCTCCTGGTCCTGGGCTTCCTAGGCTGACTTCAAAGAGAGGTCTTTTCTTTGCTGTGTGGTATTTAAAGAAAAAAACTGCTTTGAACTCTCAGATATCGGGCATTTTGGGAACAGTCAACAGCCAGCCAGATTTACATGTTTATCACTTTTGCCATAGGATGCAGAAAATTTTTTCCCCTCACTCAGTGAACAGTGGTATTTATCTGTTCCATAGGTATGTACTATGTGCCAGATAGTACTGTGTACTGATGATACAACAATGATCAATTCTGATAGTTCTTACCTAACAGAGCTCTCAGTTATGGATCAGGGAGGTGGATCTAGACAGGTAAACAGCTTACAATTCAGGGTGAGAAATGCCATGATAAGGACATACCAGATGCTATGGGAATCATGCAGATAACAGAAAACCAAACACCACATGTTCTCATTCATAAGTGGGAGTTGAACAATGAGAACACATGGACACAGGGAGAGAAACATCACACACCAGGGCCTGTTGGTGGGTGGGGGGCTGGGGGAGGGAGAGCATTAGGAGAAATACCTAATGTAGATGACGGGTTGATGGGTGCAGCAAACCACCATGGCATGTGTATACCTGTGTAACAAACCTGTACAGTGTGCACATGTATCCCAGAACTTAAAGTATAATAAAAGGAAAAGAAAACAAAAGAAAAGGAGATCAGAGAAGACTTTCTTAAAGAAGTGACTTGTAATTGTGATCTGAGGGATCGTAAGTCATAACCAGAGGAAGAGAGGGTGAGCAAAGGCCCTGAGAGTGGAGACAGCGTGGCATATTTGAAGGACTGAAGGTAGAAAGTATGTGTGTAGGTGAGGGGAAAAGACACCGTTTTTAGGGAATTGTTGAATAGGAAAGGAATACGGTGTGAAGTTAAAGTGTAAGCAAGTACAAGGTCCTGCAATGTCTGGAAAAACCTGTTAGGACTCGCAGCCTCTATCCTCAGGGAAAGTCACTGAATTACTTTTAGCAGACAGGATGCATAATGGAACGTACGTTTCTGGAAACCACTTTGATTTTTCTGTTGCCAATGGATTAGAAGCGACAAAGTCTGGAGATAGGAGTTGGAAAGACCAATGGGGGGGCTATGGAGGCATCCAGGTGAGAGATGGCGGTAGCCTTGAGACTATACATTGGCGGTGAAAGGCACAGACTGGGTAGATTTGAGAAAAGTTTAAAGGTAGAATTGACAAGACTTGGTGACAGACATGATACGGATGGTGTAGGAAAGGGAGGAATCTAGCATAATACTGAAAAGGCTCAAGGTTCTGGGTTGGCAGTGAGATCATTTAATAAGACAGGAAACCCAGGAGAAAGAGCAGACTGGGAGGTTAAGATCATGAATTCAATTTGGGGCATGTTGATTTGAGGTATTTATTAGAGGCTGTTGATGACCCACTCATATCCCCTTGACCAACCATTGAAGCGAGTGGCAAAATTGCCCAGTGGCTGAAACAACGGACTATGGATACAGTCAATGCATGTTATAAATCATAGTTCTTTCAATTAACTAGCTGTGGGTCATGGTACAACTTCTTTTATCTGTTTCCTCCTCTATAAATTGGAGACAGTCACTACCTCATGGGGTTGCTATACATACTAAATACCTGTATACATAATATAATTTCCCATGTAAACTCCATCGTCAAGCAACATCTGAACTCTACATACCAGAAGGCTCTTCTCTCCTTGTCCACTAAGCACTTGCTATTTGTGTTTGCAATTATAGTACAGGTATTTTCATATCAGTATCGTCTTTATTGACAAAAGCCCTCAGCAGCAGTGTATTAGTTTCCTACTGCTGCTGCAACAAATTAGCACAAACTTAGTGACAAAAACCAACACAAATTTATTACCTTGTAGCTCTGGAGGTCAGAAGTTTGAATTGGGTCTCGTGGAGCTAAAATCAAGGTGTTGGCAGGACTGCATTCCTTCTGGTGGAGTCTCTGGGGGAGAATCTGGTTTTTTGCCTTTTTCTTTTCCAATTTCTGCATTTCTTAGCTTGTGGCTCCTTTCCTCCATCTTCAAAGACAGAAGGTAGCATCTTCAAATATCTTTCTGCCTTACTCTTTGGGATTCCTCTTCTACTAAAAGGATCCTTGTGATTACACTGGGCCCATGCAGATAATCCAGGATAATCTCCTTGTCTTAAAGTCAGCTCGTTAGGAACCTTAATTCCACGTGCAACCTTAATTCCTCCTTGCTATGTGTGTTAGTCCACTTGTATTGCTATAAAGGAATACCTGAGACTGGTTAATTTATAAAGAAAAGAGGTTCATTTGGGCTCTGCAGGTTATACAGGAAGTATGATGTAGGCACTGGTTTCTGGTGAGGGCCTCAGGAACCTTCCAATCATGGCAGAAGATAAAGGGGAGCAGGAGTGTCACATGGCAAGACAGAGAGGGAGCAAGAGAGGACGGGGAGGTGCCAGGCTCTTTTAAACAACCAGCTCTCGAAGAAACTACCAGAATGAGAGCTCACTTATTACCACGGGGTGGGTACCAAGCCATTCATAAAGAATCAACCCCCTTAATTCAAACACCTTCCACCAGATCCCATCTCCAACACTGGGGATCACATTTCAATATGAGATTTGGAGAGAGACAGGCATCCAAACTACATCACTATGCAACATAACACATTCATAGGCTCTGGGGACTTAGGGATTCTTTTTTATTCATAGCTCCATTTTTCATACTGTCTTATTGCGTTGTGTCACCCTCTGCTAGGACTAACATTTCCAAATCTTGTGATATTCTTGTACATAATATGTGTTGTGCAATAAAAATATATCTGGCCTGAAAGCAGTAGTGATGATTTTTATTTTATTATTCATAATTTATATGAGAAACACAAAACTCAAACTTTCAAGTGACATAGTAAATAGGTGGTAGAAAATAAATATCCATAGGACTTTTTCCCCAGTCTTCCTAACAATGACAAGATAGCAGCTGGAAGATTATGAGAAAGCAATAAATATTAAACACCAATGGAAACAGTGGCTGTCTAAAGGCACCCAGAGCACACAGTCAATCTTTACTAATGATTCTTTTCCAGACCTAAAGTTCTCTATTGGCACTACCCTATAAAGCTTTAATGAGCTCTATTCCACTCTGATCTGGGAAGGAAGGGAGAAGAAAGGGAAGCAGAAATGTAGATGTCATAAATATGAACAAAGACCCCAGAGTATGAGAAGAGCAACCTCAACCACCCACCCAACCATCCTCTAGTACAAGAGGCCAATTCACACAGGGGCCACAGCCCAGGCTGCCAGGCTGACCTGTGCCAAAAGAGATGTTACCTGAAGGCCGCTGAGTGGTCCCAGCTGGCTGCAGCCTGAAACACTTCTTAATCTATCTGTCTCTAAGTAGAAAAGTCAAATAAAGTCATTAATATCTCTGCAATAAATAGTTTACGAGATTGATCGGCAGATTAGCAAAGGATCCAAGAGAATGGGACCTCGGCCTAGCAAAGAAGCAGGCAAAGTTTCCCAAAGGTATGTTGCAGGTCACCCTGGGCAAAGTAAAGGAACTGAGCACCAAAAGCATTTAAACAACTTCCTGGAACCCCCCACATCCTCATTTTCAGATACATAAAATTGGCATTAATGACCTATCATACGAAAATAGCTTCTACTTTCTGAATACGAATTAAACATCAGACCTGGTACTAGGTACATTATACGTATTATCACTAGTTCACTGGGTTCCTTTCAGCACCTACAATTAGCAGAGAGGGCCAATTGCAGTGGCTCACGCCTATAATCCCAGCACTTTGGGAGGGCGAGGCAGGCAGATCACCTGAGGTCAGGAGTTCAAGACCAGCCTGATCAACATGGTGAAACCCCATCTCTACTAAAAATACAAAAATTAGTCAGGCATGGTGGTGGGCGCCTGTAGTCCCAGCTACTTGGGAGGCAGAGGCATGAGAATTGCTTGAACCCGGTGGGGGCTGAGGTTGCAGTGAGCTGAGATGGTGCCACTGCATTGCAGCCTGGGCGAAAAAGTAAGACTCCATCTCAACAACAACAACAACAACAACAACAACAACAACAAAACAAAAACAAACCAAAAAAGAAAAAAAACAAAAAAACCCAAAAAAAACAGAGAGGGATCTGAGGCCAGAGAAGTTCAGTTACTTACCTAAGGGCACACAGTTGATACATTTCATGGCTGGGATTCAAATTCAAGATGTCTGACTCCAGAGCCCTACCTTTCAATCAGGAAGTACCTTATACAATCTTTTCCACAGGATGGTTTCTTCCTCAGTGGGAGAATGATTTAAATCATCAGCTCATCTTGTCCTATGACAAGTGGCTTTTTCTAGGTTTATTTGGGACAAATGCATAGACTAAAAGCTATGCAAGAATATCAGCAAGGGAAATAAATGAATGAGAGCTAGGTATATTGCTCCATTCTGCATCTCCAGAAAGGGTTAACTTTTGGCAGTTTAGCTGAGATGTGGGAGAACAGATGTGTAATACTTTGTATCAACAAATATTTAGTGATGCCAGAAACAAAGATGGCTTCTGGTATTTCACACCTAGCCTTCAGGAAGGCCTGTTAAACTTGATTTTCCTCTCTGCCTTGGAGAGACACGAAGTTGCTAAGCTACCATGGGGAAGGCAACTTCCGCTGTAATTGCTTTCCCAGTTTTCATACTGCCCTAGAATTTTTAGTTTTCCACTTTTGCTGAATCATTTTCACACCAGCACCTAGGACAATGACAATGAACTGTAAAAGCATGTCACTGGGTACGTCATGACCATCCACCAAAGTCTAATTAGCTGGTGCTTTCACATGGGAGAGTACTTACCGTCCATAGCCACTGTGTTCTTGTAAAAATAGGCTAGAATTACTCTCTCGCTCTTTCTGAAAGAAGTAGGGAGAGGGTTAGAGTTATTGTGTTGAAAGAGAACAGGACAATAACGGCCACAAAATCAAATCACAAGCAAAACCTTGCTAATACAACTGTATTTTGTTTTGTTTGCTTTTTGAATTTTTTATTTTAAATATTATTATATAGTGACTTTGAGTTTTTGAATTTTATTTATTTATTTTGAGACGGGGTCTCGCTCTGTCACCCGGGCTGGAGTGCAGTGGCACGATCTCGGCTCACCGCAACCTCCGCTTCCCAGCTTTAAGTGGTTCTCCTGCCTCAGCCTCCCCAGTACCTGGGATTACAGGCACATGCCACCACGCCCGGCTAATTTGATGGCTGATGAATGTATCATCATCCTTAACTTCTTAAAAGTTAATTTTTTTTTTAAATTGAGGTATAATTTACATCCATAAAATTAACCACTTTACCTTGGTTTTGAAAAAGAAGAAATCGATCACGTGATAACCTCACCCTATAAAAAGATAACCTTTAAGCTGGAAACAGATTTCTGAACATGCCATGTTTGTCTAACTTTCTCTGGCTTCCTGCCCCTTGTTCTTCTGCCTTTGCAGAAAAAAAAATCAAATTATTTCTATATTTGGAGAATTGTTCAGTACAAGTTCCTTCTCCATCTGCTTGCACTCATGTTATTAACAAATGTTCCCTCTTTTCTATTGATTTCATATTGGCTCTCTAACGTTCTACACAGCTTTTGTATTAATTAATTTTTTAAAGATAGGAATACTTGTATTTCGCACAAAACACAAAGTGGAATACTGAGGTAAGTCTCCTTTACCCTGTCTCTTCCAGCAACCCAGTTCCTTTCTGAGGCCAAAGTTTTCTCAACTTTCTTTTTTTTTTTTTTTTGAGACGGAGTCTCACGCTGTTGCCCAGGCTGGAGTGCAGTGGCGCGATCTCGGCTCACTGCAAGCTCCGCCTCCCGGGTTCCCGCCATTCTCCTGCCTCGGCCTCCTGAGTAGCTGGGACTACAGGCGCCCGCCACCGCGCCCGGCTAATTTTTTGTATTTTTAGTAGAGACGGGGTTTCACTGTGGTCTCGATCTCCTGACCTTGTGATCCGCCCGCCTCGGCCTCCCAAAGTGCTGGGATTACAGGCGTGAGCCACCGCGCCCGGCCTTTCTCAACTTTCTTAGGCATCATTAGACAGCTATTCTATTCATTTACAAATATATACATATACTAATGTATACAAATATATGTATACAAACATATATAGAAGTATACAAATATATGTGTATATGTGCATATAAAATATAAATAGGTACATAAAATAAATTATATACATGCATACACATATACATTTCCCACACACAAATGAGGGCACATTCTACCGAATGTTCTATGCTTTACTTTTTACTGTTAATAATAACCCTATTCTTGGGATTCTTTCCAGAAAATTACATTTATAGGAGTTTGTTGTGTCCATTTTACTATATTTTAAAAGTATATAATAATTTACTGAAAAACCATCCCATTACTGGCTGGGTGCAGTGGCTCACACCTGCAATCCTAGCACTTTGGGAGGCCGAGGAGGGCAGATCGCGAGGTCAGCAGTTCGAGACCATCCTAGCCAACATGGTGAAACTCCGTCTCTACGAAAAATACAAAGATTAGCCAGGCATGGTGGCGGGTGCCTGTAATCCAAGCTACTCCGGAGGCTGAGGCGGGAGAATCGCTTGAACCTGGGAGGCAGAGGTTGCAGTGAGCTGAGATCACACCACTGCACTCCAGCCTGGCGACAGAGGGAGAGTCCATCTAAAAAAAAAAAAAAAAAAAAAACCCTATCCCATTACTGTCATGTACATTGTTTCCAAACCGCCCTTACAATGTCTTACAAAGTTCCAGAACAGTTGCAGGCTGGTGTGTAACTTCCGACCTCAAGTCATCTGCCCACCTCGGCCTCCCAAAGTGCTGAAATTACAGGTGTGTGTCACCGTGCCCAGCCTGCTGCCCTTACAATGAATACACAATTTTATTTAAACCATTTCACACATATGAAACCAACTCTGTAAGCCAATTACTTATAAGTGGAATTTTTGATCAAAAAGTATGTACGTTTCTGCTTTTGAAGGGTATTGCCAAACTATCCTTCAGGGAAATTGCATCAATGTGCACTCTGTTAGCAGTGGAGAGCGGTGTTTCTACATAGTCTACTACGTGTACTTAGTAACTATTGTAACATAATTTCAGACTAACTAATAATAAATATTCAATGATTAATATCAGGAAATTAGCATTAATGGTTTCTCAATCTTTATTTTCATGAGATTAACATTTTTGAAGAGTGCTGGCCAGTTACTTCAAAGAATAGTCTTCAATTTGGGCCTGTTTTTTTCCTTAAAACAAAGAACCAGAGGGGGTGGGGTAGCATAAAAAAACAAAACAAACAAAGAAACAACAAAGAACCAAGTGCTGGTGGGGGGCGGTGGCTCATGCCTGTAATCCCAGCACTTTGGGAGGCCGAGGAGGGTGGATCACCTGAGGTCAGGAGTTTGAGGCCAGCCTGTCCAACATAGTGAAACCCCATCTCTACCAAAAATACAAAAATTAGGCGGGCATGGTGGCCTGTGCCTGTAGTCCCAGCTACTTGGGAGGTTGGGGAAGGAGAATCACTTGAACCCAGGAGGTAAAGGTTGCAGTGAGATGAGATCATGCCACTGCACTCCTGCCTGGGCGACAGAGCGAGACTCTGTCTCAAAAAAAAAAAAAAAAAAAACCCCCCCAAAAAAACCACTAAATAAAAAGAACTAACTGCAAAAACTCAAAGCAGAAAAACAAAGAACATTTGCAAGGCATAAAAAAGAAAAAGCAAAGGCGGGGCGCAGTGGCTCACGCCTGTAATCCCAGCACTTTGGGAGGCTGAGGCAGGCAGATCAGGAGGTCAGGAGATCGAAACATGGTGAAACCCCATCTCTACTAAAACTACAAAAAATTAGCTGGGCGTGGTGGCACATGCCTGTAGTCCCAGCTACTGCGGAGGCTGAGGCAGGAGAATCGCTTGAATCTGGGAGGCAGAGGTTGCAGTGAGCCGAGATCACGCCACTGCACTCCAGCCTGGGGCAACAGAGCGAGACTCTGTCTTAAAAAAAAAAAAAAAAGAAAAAGAAAAAAAAAAAAACAAAGGCCAGGTGTGGCGGCTCATACCTGTAATCCCAGCACTTTGGGAGGCCGAGGTGGGCGAATCACCTGAGGTTGGGAGGTCGAGACCAGCCTGACCAACATAGAAAAACCCTGTCTCTTACTAAAAATGCAAAATTGGTGGGGCGTGGTGTGACACGCCTATAATCCCAACTACCCCAGCTGAGACAGGACAATCGCTGGAACCCGGGAGGCAGAGGTTGCGATGAGCTGAGATCAGGCCATTGCACTCCAGCCTGGGCAACAAGAGTGAAACTCCATCTCAAAAAAAAAAAAAAAAAAAGAAAGAAAAAACAAAGAAAAATAAATGTTAGAAATAATAGTTTGTTTTTTTAAAGACTATTTACTATTTTTCTTAACACTTATGCCAGATATTGAGTTAAGCATTTTGCACAGTGGTAGTAGCTAGCATTATTATGCAAGACAAAGTGCTAAGCACTTTGTACGCATTGTCTCATTTAATCCTCAAAAATTCTTTCAGGTTCTCCTTATTATGGATAAGTAAACTGTGGTACAGAGAGGTGGAATTGTTTGCCTCAGGTCACAGAATTGGTTCTCTTCCTCTTCCTCTTCTCTTCCTTCCCTGTCCTTCCCTTCCTTTCTTTTCAAGTTACAAAAGTTATGCATGATTATTATAATAAATTAACATAACTCAGAAGGGGAGAAAGTAAACATGGAGTGCCCTAGCCCCTCTCCAGTGTCCCACACCAGAGGTGACCTCTTCTAACAACTGGTGGGCGCAGTGGCTCACACCTATAATCCCAACACTATGAAAGGCAGAGGAGGCCGGGCGCGGTGGCTCAAGCCTGTAATCCCAGCACTTTGGGAGGCCGAGGCGGGTGGATCACGGGGTCAAGAGATCGAGACCATCCTGGCTAACACGGTGAAACCCCGTCTCTACTAAAAAAAATACAAAAAACTAGCCGGGCGAGGTGGCGGGCGCCTGTAGTCCCAGCTACTCGGGAGGCTGAGGCAGGAGAATGGCGTAAACCCGGGAGGCGGAGCTTGCAGTGAGCCCAGATCGCGCCACTGCCCTCCAGCCTGGGCGACAGAGCGAGACTCCGTCTCAAAAAAAAAAAAAAAAAAGAAAGGCAGAGGTGGGTGGATTGCTTGAGCGCAGGCATTCCAGACCAGCCTGGGCAACATGGCAACGCCTGTCTCTATGCACACACACAAAAGCCCAGCACGGTGGATCATGCCTATAATCCCAGCACTTTCGGAGGCTGAGGCAGGCAGATAACTTGAGCCCAGGAGTTCGACAGTCTGGGCAACATGGAGAAACCCTATCTCTATTTAAAAAAAAAAATTAATTAGGTGTGGTGGCACGCACCTGTAGTCCCAGCTACTTGGGAGGCTGAGGTGGGGGTATCACTTTAGCCCAGGAGGTTGAGGCTGCAGTGAGCCAAGATCTTGCCACTGCACTCCAGCCTGGGTAACAGAGTGAGACCCTGTCTCAAAAAAAAAAAAAAAAAAAAAAAAATCATGAGAAACAGAAGCTTAGAGAGAGAGAGAGAGGCTGGGCGCGGTGGCTCACGCCTGTAATCCCAGCACTTTGGGAGGTCAAGGTGGACAGATTACCTAAGATCATGAGTTCAAAACCAGCCTGGTTAACATGGTGAAACCCCATCTCTACTAAAAATACAATAATTACCTGGGCGTGATGGCACAAGCCTATAATCACAGCTACTCAGGAGGCTGAGGCACAAGAATCACCTGAACCTGGGAGGCAGAGGTTGCAGTGAGCCGAGACCGTGCTACTGCACTCCAGCCTGGGCAACAGAGTGAAATCTGTCTCAAAAAAAAAAAAAAAAAAAAAAGAGAGAGAGAGAGAGAGAAAGAAAGAGAGAGTGAACGAGAACAAACAACTGTGCATGTTTATTTCCAGACCATTTTCAACTAGAATCAAGAATCTGATCTGAATCTAAAGCCCTTCTTGATAATGAATAATGAATATTCACTGTCGCCCTCCATATGCAAATAGCAAAGTTATATGATTATATGTATACTATAAAACAAAATGACTCTTCAAATTTTTTTATCTTTTTTTTTTTTTTTTTTTTTTTTTTTTAGAGACAGGGTCTCACTATGTTGCCCAGGTTGGTCTCAAACTTCTGGGCTCAAGCAATCCTCCCACCTCAGTCTCCCAAAATGCTGGAATTACAGGTGTGAGCCACCACACCTGGCCTTGATGTTTTGATACATGTATCAAAACATATTGATATATATATCAATATGTGATTGTAAAATGATCACCACAACAAAGTTAATTGACATATCCATCACCTCACATAGTTACCATTTCCGTGACTCACTGCAGCCTTGACTTCTTGCACTCAGGTGATCCTCCCACCTCAGTCTCCCCAGTAGCTGGGACCATAGGTGCCTGCCACCCTACCTGGCTAATTTTGTAATTTTTGTAGAGATAGGTTTTCGTCATGTTGCCCAGGCTGGTCTCCAACTCCTAGGCTCCAAAGATCTGCCCTCCTCAGCCTCCCAAAGTGCTGGGATTACAGGCTTGAACCACTGCACCCGGCCTCTTCTTTCTTTTCTAACTTCTTGAATTGTACATTGAATGCTTAATTGACTTATCTTTAATTTAATTTCTTTCTGATGTAAACACATTTTAAGGCTCTAACACTCAAGATGAAACTTTAGCTGAGGGTGGCATAAAAGCAGATTTCCTGGGTCTGGATCCCAGCTCTTCACTACTAGCTACAAGACCTTGGGCAAGTTATCTCATTGCTCTGTGCCTTGGTTTTTCCTTCTTGTTCAAGTCACTTATTCTTTGTCTTTATTGTGTTTTAAGTACTTGATCCATCATTATCTGATGTGCATGTGTTAATTCTCCCAGTTTGAGAATTAACATATTCCAGGACTCTTTTTTTTTTTTTCCTAGTGCATACAAGTACATGATGATTCTATCCTTTTGGTGAACTGTTCCTTATCATAGTGTTAATCCCTCTTTATTCTTTTTTTTTTTTAAGATAGAGTCTCTCTTTGTTGCCCAGGCTGGAGTTCAGTGGCGCAATCTCAGTTCACTGCCACAACCACCTCCCGGGTTCAAGCAATTCTCCTGCCTCAGTCTCCCGAGTAGCTGGAACTACAGGCACGTGCCACCATGCCCAGCTAATTTTTTGTATTTTTAGTAGAGACGAGGTTTCACCATATTAGCCAGGATGGTCTGGATCTCTTGACCTTGTGATCTGCTCACCTCGGCCTCCCGAAGTGCCGGGATTACAGGTGTGAGCCACCACACCCGGCCCCCTCTTTATTCTTAATAATGCTTTTTTATCTTAAATTATATTTTTGCAAATATTAGCATTTTTATACCAGGTTTCTTTTGTTTGGAATAGATGTTGACAGGTTTATATTTTTTCATATCTTCGTTTTCAAAGACACCCAGCTAGTGTGTGGCAAAGCCAGTTTCATTCCTGCATCCCCTGACCCCCAGTCCATTATTCTTTTTTTCCTGTCTCAATATATCTCAGGTCCACCTTCTTTCAAGATTCAACATAAGTCACTCTTCACTTTGAGGCTCTCCCAGCAACTCAGTCTATTGTGATTGCTTCCTCTTCGGAGTGCTCAGCGTCCACAGTACTCATCTGATCCTTAAAATCTTAAAAGTATGCTATCTTGGTTTTGTGTTGATATCTATCCCGGAAGTTCTTTGAAAGCTACAATATGAATTATATCTCTTCTGCAGACTACTCCAGAATTACTTTACTAGGGGGGCTAGTGGTACAATCTGATTGGGAAGGCAGTGCCTACGGGACTTGTCTTGAAACTGCACTTGCATAGCAGACATTTCATTTTATTTGCAGTGATAGAGGGTGGGTGTTTGGGAAGAGGTAAGCTAATGCCCCCCATATGCCACTCTTTCAGCTGTCACTGACCTCTACTGGCTTGCCTGTGATAGTGGTTTCCAACAAATTTAGCTGCTCTTCAAAATCGCCATGGGAGTAAGGTTTTTTTTAAGTACTCATTTTCAGATCTCCCTCCAGAGCCACTGAGTCAGAATCTCTTGAGTGGAGCTTGGGAACCTAGTGTTTAAGGAGCTCTGTTCAAATTCAAGACATCTAAGCACCTAGTCCGTAGGCAGTAACTGCTTGTAAATACACGATGGGTACCAAGTCGGGAAACAGAAAAGCTTTAATTGACATTACATTATAATGTATAAGAAAGTGATATCTGTTTCCAAACTCCCATTGCTACAAATGGTTTAGTGTAAAATAAGCTCTATTCAATCCAATTTAGTAAGCATTTCTATATGAAAGAGGCATGTAATAATAACAAAAGTAATATCTGACATCCACTGAACACCTAATATGCGCCAGCACTTCGTCGAATGTTGTATGCACACCGTCTCATTTATTACTCACCAGGCTTCTCTGTGTGCCCTATAATCAGGGTCAACTTATCCATTAGGCTCAGTAGGCACTATGTCTAGGGTCCATGATACTATTAGAGGCTCGTAAAAATGTTTTTGTTCATTTTAGCATCAGAAAGGAAAAAAAAAAAGAAAATAATCCCTGATGAATTATATTAGTCTTTATACCAACACAGTCACAATATATAATTGGTGATCATTTTCATGGAGAAAGAGGCCTATGAAGGCAAAAGTGCCTTGGGGCTCTGAAAGTCATACTGCAACCTTCACCATAATCATTCCCATTTAACAGAATATAAATTAATGTCTAAATTCAGTGACAGATCTAGATTGTGTGGGGCCTGGGGCTTTTACAATTTAAATGATCTTCTTAAGGAAAATAATGCAAAATTATAAATAAAAATTAGGTACACAGTCTTGGAGGGGACTGTCCAAGTAAGGGGCCCTCAAGGGTAAGCCTCCTTAGCAATATGGCCTATCCGCCCTTGCCTAAATGTCTTTGGGCCTAAAGAAAGCCAGGGAAGGAATCAGTGTAAACCAGGGCATATCAGCAAAGGACTCAAGGAGGAAATGGGACTTTGCAGTGACTGTGAGTTGGGCACCCTGAGTGCAAACCCTGGGGGCTGAGTGTGAGCATAACATGTTTAGGGGAAAGCAGAGAACTCACCCAACTGTCTGGGGTAGGGAGAGGATCCAGGGTTCCCTAAGGAAAGTGAGGCCTGTTTTGTATTTATTTATTTATTTATTTATTTATTTATTTATTTATAAGACAGGGTCTCACTCTGTCAACTGGTGGGGTGCAGTGTGCAATCACATTTCACTGCAGCCTTGACCTCCCAGGCTCAAACAATCCTGCCACCTCAGCCTCCTAAGTAGTTGGGACTACAAGTGGCTAGTTTTTTGGGGTTTTTTTAATTTTTAATTTTTTATAGACACGGGGGTCTCCCTATGTTGCCCATGCTGGTCTTGAACTCCTGGACTCAAGCAGTTCTCCAGCCCTGGCCTCCCAAAGTACTGGGATTACAGGTGCGAGCACCGTGCCTGTTGGTGCCTGTTTTAAATACCAGGATGGAAAGACCACTGGGAATCCTTATACTTGCTCTTGGGTCTTATTACATCATTACGTAATAGTAGGGCAGGACTCTTGGGAGGGTCAGGAAGAGGCACAGAGGTCTAATTGGAGGATTAATCTGGGTGTGTTTTAATAAGCACCTGAAATTATGGTTGGCTGGGAGGAGGGAAGAGAAAAAAAATGAGTAAGCATCAAAAAGGTTCAGTCAAGTAGACAATGAGGACTACAGGGGAAGAAGAGTCAGCCGTCATTTATACATTTTGAGCCTGGATCACTGAAGGAACGGTGTGGGATTGCCAGAAATGTAGAGACTGGTTACACTGGTTCTAGAGAAGTTAAATCCAACAAAATAATCACTACAGAGAGGCATCCTGAACTAACCTGACCAGACCCGCTGGCCTTAGCCTTTGCTGTTGTTTTCCAATTGCCAATGCCCCATCTGATTGAAACATTTTTTTCTCAGTTGTGTTAACAGCATTAAGACATTACATTCCTTGCTGGCTAGGAAGCTATGGTGTTATTTTGTGTATATATATATATACACACACACACACATATATACACATTTCTGTCCACAGTTCCTGGACCGTATCTCCCAGAGCCCTCGTTACAATCTTTCATTATAAGGTTGGGTGTGTTAGGCCTCAGGAGCAGATTGAGAAAACAGAATCTCTCTGATCTTTTCCTGCCCTTCTTTCACCTTCCCCAAGACAGGACTCTAATCTTACCCCACATTTCTGACTATGGGTCTTAAGATCCTCTCCGGAGATGGTACTGCCCTGTAAGCCGGGGGAAGGAATGCTGGCATCATGAAGCTTCCATAAAAACCCAAGAGGACTGGATTCAGGGAGCTTCCAGATAGTTGAACACACGGAGGTTCCTAGGCAGTGGCGACCCAGGGAGGGGATGGGAGTTCCACGCCTCTTTCCCCATACCTCACCCTATGCATCTCTCCATCTGTGTTCTTTGTAAAGTCCTTTATAACAAACCAGTAAACTTAAGTGTTTTCCTGAGTTCTGTGAGCCGCTCTAGCAAATTAACCCAACACAAAGAGAAGGTGTGGGAACCCCAACTTGAAGCTGGTTGGTCGGAAGTTCCAGAGGCCCAGATTTGCAATGGGTGTCTGTGGAATGGGCAGTTTTGGGGACTAAGCCCCAAACCAATAGAATCTGATGCTATCTCCAGGTAGATGGTGTCAGAATTGAACTGGAGGACATCCAGCTGGTGTCTGCTGCTACGTGAGTCAGGAAATTCCCCACATATTTAGTCAAAGAAGTCTTCTTCTGTGTTGCTGATTGTTGCTGTGGTTGCTGATTGTTGCCAAGAGGAAACTGGGTTTGAGAGAATTTTTGAAACAGAAGCACTTTGCCTTTAACACGGCTTTTGTTAAACACCGTCATTAGATTAGTTATAATTCAACTCCCAGAGTTACAACCCTCTCCACTGCCTTTCCAGGTGAGCAGCCAGAGGACTAGTCACAACGAAATAGAAAGAGGAGAAGGGATTTGAGAGGGCATTACAGAGGTATAAAAATTGGAGGCCGGGAGCGGTGGCTCATGCCTGTAATCTCAGCACTTTGGGAGGCCGAGGTGGGTGGATCAGCTGAGGTCAGGCGTTTGAAACCAGCTTGGTTAACATGGTGAAACTCCGTTATTACTAAAAATACCAAAAATTAGCCAGGCATAGCAGCGGGCGCCTGTAATCCCAACTCCTCAGGAGGCTGAGACAGGAGAATCACTTGAACCTGGGAGGTGGAGGTTGCAGTAAGCTGAGATTGTTCCACTGCACTCCAGCCTGGGCAACAAGAGCTAAACTCTGTCTCAATAAATAAATAAATAAATAAATAAATAAATAAATAAATAAGAAAGGGACTGGAAATGAGAAAGAGAAAGGAGTCTAACAATCATTTGAAAAATCTTTACATACCTGTCAGGCTCTGGGCTTGGAACAAAAGCCATTAATGACAGAGATGCAGTCAGTACCCGGAGGGTATCTGAGATTTCCAGGATGGGTGTTTGTGGGAAAGTGCTGGGGTCAAGTGCCGCATTAGGAACATATTCTAGAGGGTGGGGAGGCAGATGGTAAATTTAGTTTTATCCATGTAAAATTTGGCATTCTGAAAATGTAAAGTGGAGATGTCCTGTACATAGTTATAAACATGGGAAAGAAGATCAAGAGAAAAGTCAAGGTAAGAGACAGACGTTTTAGAGTCTATCTGTTATCATAAAGTTTATGAGGCAGACATGAAGGAGGCGGAGGTTGCAGTGAGCCGAGATGGCGCCACTGCATTCCAGCCTGGGTGACAGAGCAAGACCCCATCTCAAAAAACAGTTTACAAAAATTGACTATGTCTTATGTCTCAAAGTGAGTCAACAAACACCACAGTCATTATTATATAGACCAGGGGTGATGGTAGGACAAGTGGAGGCTCCTAACAGAGCTACAGATTCTTCAAACATCAAGGAATTGGGGCCAGGCGGAGTGGCTCATGCCTGTAATCCCAGCACTTTGGGAGGCTGAGGCAGGTGGATCAACTGAGGTCAGGAGTTCGAGACTAGACTGGCCAACATGGTGAAACCCTGTCTCTGCTAGAAATACAAAAATTAGTCGGGCGTGGTGGCGCATGCCTGTAATCCCAGCTACTCGGGAGGCTGAGGCAGGAACATCACTTGAACCCGGGAGGTGGAGGTTGCAGTGAGCCGAGATCGTGCCATTGCACTCCAACCTGGGCGACAAGAGCGAAACTCCATCTCAAAAAATCAATCAATCAATCAATCCATCCATCCATCAAGGAATTATACAGAAATGGTGAAAGAAAGGAAAAAAGTTAGATTGGTGAACAAAGTGCAAAGAAGTCAGCAAAACGAGGAGGAGGCTCAAAACCAGAACTTGCCTTTTGGGATATGAATTTCTCTGTAAGGAATCCTCTCCCTGTGCCCCCATAGCAATCCACAGGAAGTGGAGAACATTTTGCCTTTCCCCCTGTGCCAACCCAGGTTGCAGTCAGTGCTTCCCATTGCAGAGCCTACCAGGTTGCCAGTGACCAAGGGAGCTGGAAAATGCTAGTTCCTTTTTATAGAGGGAAGAGTAAAGAAGAGTTAACGCACAGAGGGGTTAACTATCTTTTTGTTCCTGATTTGTAACTCTATTATATTGTGATCAGGGAATGTGATCTATATAATAATGACTGTGGTGTTTGTTGACTCACTTTAAGACATAAGACATAGTCAATTTTTGCAAATTTTTTTTTTTTTTTTTGAGATGGAGTCTTGCTCTGTCACCCAGGCTGGAATGCAATGGCGCAATCTCGGCTCACTGCAACCTCCACCTCCCAGGTTAAGCTATTCTCCTGCCTCAGCCTCCTGAGTAGCTGGGACTACAGGCATGTGACACCACTCCTGGCTAATTTTTTATTTTTAGTCGAGATGGGGTTTCACCATGTTGGCCAGGCTGGTCTCAAACGCCTGACCTCAAGTGGTCCGCCTGCCTCGGCCTCCCAAAGTGCTGGGATTACAGGTGTGAGCCACCATGCCCAGCCAATTTTTGTAAATGTTTTAAGTGTTGTTGTGTATTCTTTATTTGTGTGTGTGTGTGTGTGTGTGTAGTGTTCCACATATTTCCATAAGATTTGGATCATTAATTGTGTTATTTGCACAATAAAAATAAATCTTTTTGAGTCATATGACTATTTTGTCTGCATGAAGTCAGATTTTGAAAGAGGTTTTTACCAGCCGGGCTCAGTGGCTCATGCTTATAATCCCAGCACTTTGGGGGTCCGAGGCGGGCAGATCACCTGAGGTCGGGAGTTTGAGACCAGCCTGACCAACATGGAGAAACCCCGTCTCTACTAACAATACAACATTAGTCGGGTGTGGTGGCGCATGCCTGTAATCCCAGCTACTCAGGAGGCTGAGGCAGGAGAATCGCTTGCACCTGGGAGGCGGAGGTTGCAGTCAGCCCAGATAGCACCATTGCACTCCAGTCTGGGCAACAAGAGTGAAACTCCATCTCAAAAAAAACAAAAAGAGATTTAAAAAAATATCTCATTATGATTATGGATTTATCAAATTCATATGTCATTTATATGGAGAATAGTCTATAAAGGAACATTAATGGAAATAGTTGGAAGGATGGTGCGGTGGTCTGGGTGAGACATGGTGGTGGCTTGTCCTGAGATGGTAAGAATGTGGAGAGAAAGGGAAAGAAAACAATTAATCCTGATTATTAGGTTTCTGGTGTGGACAACTGACTTCATGGTTGGTGGTACCAGTTACCAAACGGCATGCCACTGACCAATGTTTTTCCTTGAGCAGATTACATAAACTCTCTGGATTCTATTTTTTTATTTATAAAAATGGGTATAACAATAGATTGTATTTCATAGTGTCACTGTGATGGTGAAAAGAGTTAATATATGTAAAGTTCTTAGCACAATATTTAAGTCATTGTTCAATATATGCTTTTGTTATTACCAATTAGGATATAGTTAAAGGAGGAAAGCTTTGGGTTTGTTCGAGGTGGGAAATGAAGTTTGTCTATGGGGGCTCATGATGTGTAAGTTGTTTTATAAGTTATCTGTCAGTAAAGAGGGTCTGAGCCATCTTCACAAATGCCGCCAGGGCTGAAAGAGAATGGAAGTGAGAGAAGACCACCGGAAGGTCAAAGGTAACTTTCAACAAGTGGCAGAATGCAGGAAAGATTTTCTTAAGGTTGGGAAGGTAAATAATGGTTTCAGGCCGAGAATGAGAAGACGTTTCACAAAGAGATGAAATACCTGATTCTACTTACTTTCCTGTTTATTTTTGTTTTTTCAGTGTCGCGGTGTGATTGATTCTGGGTATGGAAGCCAGCCATCCCCAAAAGGCTGCAGGAGAGCACAACTCTGGAAAAAAATGACGGCAATTAACAGAGTAGCAGGAACTTGCAGAACAACAGTAACTTACCTCAAGTGTGATTTATCATATGATTAGTAAACAGATTACGCTAGCGACAGTTGTTAAGAAGTCTGTTTTAAAGGAAAAAGTGATTAACTTGACAAAGATTCATAAGCACATATGTTTCCAGCTCTGAGTTGTGGGGCAAAATGAAAACTGAAGTTGTGAATTCTATAGTATTCACTGCCTTGGCAGATTTCAGTGTGAGATTATGCGTGACTACACCCCTCCCACAAGTTTACACAGGCTTAGGAATTTTCTTATTAAGGCTGTTATGCAACCTGCATTTTAGCAAGGGCATACAAACGCATGGAAAGAATATTCCCATACACAAATCTTTTGTTTAACTTTTGTTTTTGTTTCTGAGACAGAGTCTCGCTCTATCGCCCAGGCTGGAGTACAGTGGTGTGATCTCGGCTTACTGCCACCTCCGCCCCCAGGTTCAAGTGATTCTCATGCCTCAGTCTCCTGAGTAGCTGGGATTACAGGCATGTGCCACCATACCCGGCTAATTTTTGTATTTTTAGTAGAGACAGAGTTTCACCACGTTGGCTAGGCTGGTCTTGAAATCCTGACCTCAGTTGATCCACCCACGTTGGCATCCCAAAGTCCTAGGATTACAGGCATGATTCACCGTGCCCATCCCCCATACACCAATCTTGACGTATCTGTATCCCCCTTCACTAGGTTAGTGCTGAGTTGCTTTTTCTTTTCTATATTTTTAAGGAGAAAGACATTGCTTTAAGCCTACTATAATTGAAGCCACCTTTCATTAACCAGTTTTAGATCTATCACAAATAAATTATAAGCTAGATTCAATTATGAAGCCATTAACACACTTCCCATAAATGGAAAATGAAAAGCAAGCTTTGTGTAAAGGTAGGAGATTAACATACACTTTTATGTTGTTGACTTCCAGGAATCCCAGTTAAACTACCAGTAAATAGATATTTTAAGGCTTAAACCCAATAGATGGCGAGAGTTGAAGAAGGCACAATTTTGGAAGCTGGAAAACAGATGAATACATAGTGATAGAATGAGCAGATTTGAGAAGTTTAAATCCCATCAGGCAGAAGAGAAAACTAAAAACTAATCTGATTTATAGCATATCTGAAGACTTGGAAACTAATGGCAGCAGGTCCCTGAAGAAGTGAGGATAAAAGGGATATGGACTAAATAAGGAGGATTGTTTGGAAGTATTCTTTAGGAGGAATTGGATTGGATCCCTAGCCTTCTCCCCAGATCTGTGCAGCATCCCAGAGACTGCACCTTCCTTAACTGGCAAAAGAGTGATAGCTTATTTTCAGAATGGAGTAAAATAGATGGTTCTACACTAGAAGAACACCAGTGCAGTTGAGTGTGAGAGAACTGTACTAAAAATAGAGGATTAAGTGAATTTATGCATATTAGCTTCTGGGATACCCCATACCATATCCATCTTTTCCTTCTCTGGGCCAAGGACACTGAAAGTTAGACCTTCACCCTCCAGGCAGGACATGGAGTCTTCTCTGGGAAATATGCTTGGTCCATTATGAAAGACCTGACCTTGGAAAGATATTGACATCAGAAGTTCCCTCAGTAGACCCAGCCCACCCTGATGCTCTTACAGTGAAACCCACATCAGACCAGACCAGCTCTCATATTCTCAGGGCTTCCAGCCAGTGTTTCAGCATCTCACCCTTAAATATTATCAGATACAACGATGATAAGATACGTGAGGAAAGCCTTTAACTCGGAAGACAGAAAATGAATAAAGAAAAAAAAGTAATGTCAAGGAAATAAAGATAAAATAAAAGTCAAACATCTCACAAAGAGAAGCTACTATAACCACAAAACAAGAAAATAATTCTATGCAAAAATAAATAAGCAAATAAATAAATGGAACAAAACGCATACAGAAGATCTTGAAAATTAAATATATAGCAGAAAGGAGTATTTTATTTTCTTTCTTTGTTTCTTTTTTTGAGACAGGATCCTTCTCAGTTACACAGGCTGGAGTGCAATGGCATGATCATAAGCTCACTGCAGCCTGGACCTCCTGTATTTAAGCAATCCTCCCAGCTAAGCTCTCTGAGTAGCTGGGACTACAAGTACATGCCACTATGCCCGCCTAATTTTTTTTTATGTTTTGTAGAAATGAGTCTCACTATGTTGCCTTAGTTGGTGTCAAACTCATGAGCTCAAGTGATCCTACAGCCACAGCCTCCCAAAGTGCTGGGATAATAGATGTGAGCCAATCCACCTGACTAGAAATTAATATTTTCAATAGAAAGGTCAGAATATAAAGTGGAGAATTTTTCCAGCAAAAAGAAAAGGGGATGGAAAATAGGAGATACAAATGTAAGACAATTAGGAAATTGGTCAAGGGTGTTAGCGTCTGACATGGTCTGGCTCTGTGTCCACACCCAAATCTCATCTTGTAGCTCCCATAATTCCCATGTGTTGTGGGAGGGAGCCAGTGGGAGACACTGAATCATGGGGATGGGTCTTTCTCATGCTGTTCTTGTGATAGTGAATGGATCTCACGAGATCTGATGGTTTTAAAAAATGGGAGTTTCTCTGCACAAGCTCTTTTTTTTTTGCCTGCTGCCATCCATGTAAGATGTGACTTGCTCCTCCTCACCTTCAGCCATGATTGTGAGGCCTCCTCAGCCATGTGGACTGTAAGTCCAATTAAACCTCTGTCTTTTGTGAATTGCCCAGTCTTGAGTACGTCTTTTATCAGCAGCAGGAAAATGGACTAATAGAGCACCCAAAAGAAAAAAAAATGAAGAGAAGTTAATAATCTGAATTTCCAGACAGAAAAATGTATTAAGTGAATACAGTCTTAGGCTAATGCACACATTGTGAAATTTCAAGCATTGAAGGCAAAGAGAAGATCCTGCAAGATTGTAGAAAGGGGAAAAATATACAGGTCATATACACAGGATCAGCAATTTAGGAGAATAAAAATGTTCCCCAAAACTTAGGGAAAGGCAATTGTTCTGTAGTCATAATTAAGAAGTAGCTATCAAAAACTGGTTTTAAACCCATGTAATCAATAAACACAATTCCCCTCAATGTACACACTTTTACAAGCCAACTCATCAGATCAGGTCTTTGTTTCTGAAAAACAGCCAGTGGTAGATGAACTCACTCCTGTAAAAACACCTTTGAGTGGTGAACAATCAACGAAGTTTCCCCTAAGGAATTGTGATTCTGCAAATGATAACATCCTACTGCAGTCTCTGAACTCCCTGAACTCATCATGCTTCCTCAAAACTCTAGTAGTCTGCTCTGCATGGAAAGACTGTTTCTGAGCATCATAGCTCTCACTGGAGCAAGGAGTAAATTCAGCTTTGTCCTTTTATTTCAGATACTAAGTGGTGATCTCATCATCTTTTGGCATAGACTTTTTAACTTGTGAACAGGAGTATTGGCTACAAAGCAATGGAGAAAGGTTTTCAAAATGTTAAGAGAAAATAGTTAATGACCTAGAATTCTACTCCCAACCAAACTAGCACTTAAACGTAAGAATCGGAAAAAATTTTTTAAAAAGACATTTTCAGACATGCAAGATTTCATACAATTAATTTACTGCTCATGTACTCTTTCTTGGGAAGTCACTGAAGGAAACCAAGCAGGAGGAAGACATGGATTACTAGAAATATGAGATCCAATACAGGAAAAAAGCAGAGGACAGCCCCAGGATGATGGTAAAGAGACATCCCAGCATGGTATCTGGTTCATGCTGCAGCTTGTATCAATTATTTTGTGCTGCATAACAAACCAACTCAAAACGCAATGGCTTAAAACAACCATCTATTTAGTTCATAATTTTGCTAGGCGGTTCTTCTGGCTGATCTTAGCTAGGCTCACTCATGCATCTGTGGTCAGTTGGCAGTTTAGCTGGGGCTGACTGGTTCCAGATGGCCTCAGTCAAATGCCTGACACGTGTCTCGGTGTTGGCTGCGGTGATGGGATGACTGGACTATGCTTCTCTCCTCATCAAGAAGGTGAGCCTAGTTCATCACATGACAGCAGAGGTCCAAGAGCCCAAACCACAAGGACTCTTCAAGTCTCTACTGTGTCATATTTCATTGGTCAAAGCAAGTCACATGGTCAAGGTCAGAGCCAAAGTAGAAAGTACACTCAGAGTCACAGAGCAAAGGAACACAAACACAAGAAAGGGAATCACTGCTATTGTTGCTGTTGCTGGCCTTCCTTTTTTTTTTTTTTTTTTTTTAAAGTAAGGATGAGGTCTTGTTTTTATGCCCAGGCTGGTCTAAAACTCCTGGGCTCAAGTGATTCACCCACTATGGCCTCCCAAAATGTTGGGATTACAGATGTGCACCACCATGCCTGGCCTTATTTAATATTTAGTTTTTTATTAGTCGTTTCCCCTAACAGAATGTAAAGTCCCATGTGGGTAGCCTTATTTGTCATATTTGTCCCCAAGTGCCGAAAACAGGGTCTGGTGCACAGGAACTACTAATCTGTTTCTTTAGAATAAATTAATAAAAACAAAAAATACACAGCGAAAGGAAAAAAAAAAAGCAACTCTTTATAGTGGCTGCTTTGGCAGAGGAATTGAGAACTTGTCAGGAGTGGAAGAGCAGGAGAAATGAACTAACTGTTACTTATTAAGGCCCCCGTCTTCCAATCCCTACAGCTTTCAGGGTCCAAGTGGTGGTCTCCACAGCATTGCACACCCACAGGGATCCATGAGAGTGTAGAAGGGAAATGTGAGAACTATCTATCTATGATTTCTTTTCATGTCAGATGGGCAAAGTGCTGACATTGTGGCAAGGTTTGAGGATGGCACATCCCACATTTGAATGTGAACACCGAATCATCATGCTTATGAACTGCAAAAGCATCAAAATATTTATGTTTGGTTTCTTCCTAAGAGAAAAAAGGCATTATTAATATTTAATTTGTAGATTTTGAGTCCATGCTTATAATTTATAAATTATATTCTAATGCATGCTCAGTGATTTTATTGACAAGAGTATGGAATCAAAGACATTTGGTCTGAAGAAGTTTACTTACAGACTAATAGCCCATAGGTCTTGTAAATGGTGAACATGTTTGACTTGTCTTGTACTGTTTTAAAATGGTTTAAATAAAATCCAGAGATTTCACATAAAATTCCACAGTTCTGGCTGTTTTGGGGATGCTAGAGGAGCTGGCATTGCTGGTCCTGTGATTTGCTGGAGCTGGAGAGCATGTGCACGTTTAGAGGTGTGTGGGTGTGTGTGTGTTTGTGTGTGTACGTGTGCTCTTGTGCACCAAGGTCTTCCTAATGGCTTCCTTTGGGTTCTCATATTCAGTTCACTTCACTAATTTATCAGCCTGGCCTTGCAGACATTTTAGTTTATTGCCCTTTTCTGACAGTTTCTTAACATCAGTCAAATCATTTGTGCCTGCTAGCAGTGAAAGTGATGAGATTTGCTAATAATATAATTTTCTTTTTAAAGACTGATTTGAGAGCTACTGCTACCCTAACACTACGCTTACTCACATTCAGTCCTGGTGAGTAAGAATAACAGGGCAGGTGTTGACACACCAGAAACCGGGCTTAACAGGGGAGTGTGTCCTTGTGAATCACCATTCCTCAGGTGTGTCCTGGCTGAAAGCAGGCTGACAACCACTGATCTTCAGTCGACAGTTTTGTACCTTGATATTCTAATTATGTGTAGTCCTCCTTTGCTACATATGTAACCATAGATTCCTAGGAACTTCTTGCAGGTACTGCTTTATCACATCGATCACCATGGTTTGCATAGTGAAATATAGAGATGGTAAAGGAATACACACACACACACACACACACACACACAGATATATGTACATATAGTAAAAGCAGGAAGAGAATATCTCATTTTTGTTTTGTGGTCTGTCCTTAAGATCATTTTTTCATTCAATCCTTATAATAGTCATACATGGGCAGTTTTTTCTTTTTATCTTAATTTTAGAGATGAGAAAATGAGGCTTAGAAAAGTGAAATAAGGACCAGGTGCAGGGGCTCACGCCTATAATCCCAGCACTTTGGGAGGCTGAGGTGGGTGGATCACGAAGTCAGGAGTTCGAGACCAGCCTGGCCAATATCCGTTTCTACTGAAAACTACAAAAATTAGCCAGGCGTGGTGGCGCGGTCCTGTAGTCCCAGCTACTCAGGAGACTGAGGCAGGAGAACCGCTTGAACCCGGGAAGCGGAGGTTGCAGTGAGCCGAGATCGTTGCATTGCACTCCAGCCTGGGCGACAGAGTGAGACTCCATCTAAAAAAAAAAAAAAAAACAAAAAAAAACCCAGAAAAGTGAAATTAGTATTCCAAAGTCACAACTACTAAATGACAAATCCAAGATTCAAACCCAGGTTTAATTCCAAAGGCAATGGTCTTTACTAACTAATACCCCCTGCATTCCAAAAAACAAAACAAAATCTCTTGATAAGATTGAAATTTCTCCAATAATATATTTCCAACCAATGATTTCGTTGTCAGTGAAAAGAAACTATAAAATCAATATATTCTACTACAGCCAATGGAGAAGTTAAAGATGTCTCCAGCCACATTAATAGAGGGAAAACTCCAAAGGGTGCCCCAGGGCAGAATTCAGTACAGGTTTAAGTACACGGCCAAAAAAAGCTAAAACCTTAACATTTAAACATTTTTATCGGAGGTTAGAGATAACCTTGAAAAATAATAGACCATTTACTTGTTTCAAAAATGACAGATTGCTTCTTGGTTGCAACTTCTATTCACCAGAGACAAAAAGTACAGACTAAATGATTTTTTTTTTTTTTTTTTTTTTTTTTTTTTTTGAGACGGAGTCTCGCTCTGCCGCCCAGCCTGGAGTGGAATGGCCGGATCTCAGCTCACTGCAAGCTCTGCCTCCCGGGTTTATGCCATTCTCCGGCCTCAGCCTCCCGAGTAGCTGGGACTACAGGCGCCCGCCACCTCGCCCGGCTAGTTTTTTGTATTTTTTAGTAGAGACGGGGTTTCACCGTGTTATCCAGGATGGTCTTGATCTCCTGACCTCGTGATCCGCCCGCCTCGGCCTCCCAAAGGGCTGGGATTACAGGCTTTTAATACAAGATCAAAACTCCAGTTTCACTCATGCAGTAGGAGGCTTTCCAATATGACCAAGGGGTACCGTTGGACAAAAGAGACATAAACAGTTTAAAGCCTCAGGCCCCACTCACAGGAAGTTTATCATTCACCAGAGGAGCGGAGGAGTCTACCTCTGGGTGCAAGAAAGTACTAGGTCAAATGAGGCGCTATTCCAAAGGGTCCTGACAGCCAGGCAGAGAATTTTGGACTGACAGCTGTCAAAAAGGGAGCTTGGGGCAGCAAAGGGTTAAGAGGCCACTCTGTGCCCAGGCCGCATTAAACTCAGCGTGTGTACTACTGAGAAAAAGCGATGTGGTAAACAGAGGCTTTCACAATGAGATAAGAGGCTTAAATAAATTAATCGAAATGGTTCTGAACATGATAAGATGTAGGGTTTAGATGAAAGAGGGTGAGGCAGCTGCTACAAAAGAAGAGATGTACATATTTCTCCAGCAGAAACAGGTTATGCAATCCAGGGCAGCTTGTACAATGGAAGGAAAATATGTTAATTAGATGGAAAGTGGGCTGTCTATTATGGGTGTGTGTGTCTTGGGGGGCAGAATTATAAGTGAAAAATCAAAGATGAACTCCTAAGCAGAGCTTTCATGGGGTGATATAAGGGAGGTTTTGTAGTTTACTTTTACAATTTTTCTATTTTTTTCTAATTGAATATATAATACACAAATAAATTTTCCTTGAAATAGTTACAAAATTTATAGGTCAAAATGAAGTCCCCTTTGACCATCTCTCAACTTTACCCTGCTAAATCCCAACACCCTCCCCAGTGTATCTTTTTGGGAAATCTGGAGTACAAGCATATGTACTATTTCAGCATGATGAACAAAATAAAAAAAAAGGCCGGGCGCGGTGGCTCAAGCCTGTAATCCCAGCACTTTGGGAGGCCGAGACGGGCGGATCACGAGGTCAGGAGATCGAGACCATCCTGGATAACACGGTGAAACCCCGTCTCTACTAAGAAATACAAAAAACTAGCCGGGCGAGGTGGCGGGGCCTGTAGTCCCAGCTACTCGGAGGCTGAGGCCGGAGAATGGCGTGAACCCGGGAGGCGGAGCTTGCAGTGAGCTGAGATCCGGCCACTGCCTCCAGCCTGGGCACAGAGCGAGACTCCATCTCAAAAAAAAAAAAAAAAAAAAAAAAAAAATTATAAAAAAAAAAACAGGAAAAGGAAAGCTTGCAGTAATCCTAACGCTAACACCCTTTTCTTAAGCAGAGGCTGTGTTAGTTAGAGATAAGCTATTAGCTCATTCAGCAAATGTGCTGTGAGCAACTATGAAGTACCAGGAACTGGGAATACAACAATGACCTCAAGGAGAGCATAACCACTTCCAAGGCTGGCATCATTTCCCACAATATGCTGATAAGGAAAGTGAGACTCAGAAAAATTACACAACTCACCCAAGGTTACTGCAAGTTAAGTGGTAGTGCTGGGATTCAAATTCTGGCCCTCCTTCTACAACTGTCTTCAAAGCCTGGCTCTCCTTCTAAAACTATCTGATGGTTTTTAAACCATTTGTTATAAAAGCAGAAGTCTTTTTAAAATTTTTAATGAAAATATGATAAAATTACTATATTGTAGTTCAATGTAGAGAAAACAAATGTAAAAGTGGATGTGCTCTGTTTCATTTGAAGTGGCCTACTCAGAAAGGTGATTTTGTTTTTATTAAGAGGACTGGAAGGGATTGCTTATATGAAATACCCCAAAGGCCCAAGTCTTCTATTGCCAAACAGCTTTAGGTGTAACTACTAGGCATCATTGGTAGAGATCATCAGCGCTAATGAATTACAAACTGGGCAGTGCCTGGGAATTACCTCCATTGCTAATTTTGAATTCAATAGGATTCAGAGATCAGCAGTTGTTAAAAGCTACCCTTTGGTGACTCTGATGATCAGCCAGATTTGAGAAGCGATTCTAGTGCAACTTGTTGTTTTGCTTAATTCCTCTCCTTTAGGGATCCTGCTTTGCCACCCCATCCTCCACCTGTTCTTTCAATCTAGAAACAACCGATCAGACTTGTGCCGTAGGGACACTGTGTGGAACGCCCAGCTCTTGTGGATTACCATCCCAGAATGCCTTGGTTTCCTTCCTTCTGCTCTGATTTTTTATTTCTACTCACCCTTCAGTTATGAACCACATAATCCTTTCTAGAATGATACAGGTTATTCCTGGCCCTGCTCTAATCATTGCTCCCTAATTACCACTTTAACTTCACATCTATCATTGGTGAAATTTTAAATTCCCTCCCAGGTAATAAATACCAAGGATATTTCATGTGGCATCTCCACTTCTTTTCCTGATGGTGTGTCCTAGTAGGACTCCATGTGCCTCTGCTGCATGAATCTTCCCAGATTAATCCCAGCTTCTTGTTCTCAGGACACTACTGTCTATTGCAGCAATCATTTTTATAATATCCCCCAGTGAGCAATTATTCAATGTCTGCTTATCTCCAATAATAGAAAACTCGTTTTAGGAAAGAACCTGTTCTACTGTTGAAGAATAGTAGCTGCTTTAAAGAAAGATTCCACCAGATCTTGAGCTAAACCTAGCTTTTCTGTACCTTCTGTCCACTGGTTCTTCCCTCCTGAACAGTGGTTCTCAGTGTGGTTCGGCCCCAGCAGCAACAGCTTCACCTGGCAACTTGTTAGGAATGCAGTTCTCAGGCTCCACCCTAGACCTACTGAAGAGAAACTCTGGGGAAGATGCTTAGGGATACAGCCCCCGAGGGATCTGATGGACTCAAGTTTGA